TCACTAGAGTTTAAGCACAAACACCAAAGCCATGTCTTATTAATCTTTCATTCTTCAGGACCTCGTACAGAGCTAGGTACACAGTAGGTGCTAGCTACTTCATTAATATTTGTAGGAAAAAATCAAAGCTATTGCTGTGCTTAAAGAATATTAGCATTTAAGGTGGCTGCGTGAGCATGTGAAGTTGTTTTGTAGTTAAAAAGATGCTACACCTGTATTTCTTTACTTGTAATAACTCGGGAGCTCAGGGTCCCATCGTTACCTGCTGCTAGAATGAGGATAAGTTGTTCAAGTGCTGTACTTTTAACCTCATTTTCTTTATATACATTAGATATATTAACTTCCTGAAATTCATGACATTTTATGCTCACAATACAGTCAGAAGAATAAAGCCACTGAAGAGGAGTACCTCATCCTCAGCAACTTACCCGAGAAACACAACTTCAGTCTTATTTCTTCCATCTTTTACATCAATCCACAATTGGTGGAGACAAAGGGGCATCTCTGATAGGCCCAAATTAAAAGGAAATATTTTTACCTTATAAAGTTCAGTTGTTAACTGCTGGAGCCAACTGAATTAGGCCTTTGGTCTGGGACCCAGTAAATCTAAATTTTAACAAACCCTCCAGGTGATTTTGATGCACACTAAAGATCAAGAATCAATGTTTTGGTGGAAATGGAAATTAGCTAGGGAATACTTCTAAGCTTTATTTTCTTTATAAACTGAGATGACTTTAGCTAGGGTCACCATAGCCTGGGTGAAGCTTCACAACAACCCTCCGTCTATCTGCTTTGGACTTCATGGGAGCTGGGAGTTGCTGGGAGCTGTAGAGTGTTCTAGGTAGAGAGGGGAAGCCAGGTTGCAATCGCTGTTTCTATGTAAGCATTTGATAAATTGTTTAAAGAGAGCTCAGAAAAAAGGAAACCTCCAAAGCTCGAGTAATTTGTTCTGTTCTTCCTCATTCTAATTTAATTTTTTTTTTGTCTGCCTAATTTTATCGTTTTTCTTAAAATTGCTTAAGCTTAGAAAAACTTGTGCACGTTTCAGGACCAAGAAACCTGGGGGCACCCGGACCTTAGCGATATCTGTCTTTCAAGACCTAAGCCGTGTTGTTACTGGTGCTGCACTTAACTATGATATTGATTTTGGTTTTATTTTACACCCGGGGTTCTCTTTTTGAACCTGGTACGTGGTCTCCGAGGTGCTCGGGAGCGAACCGCTTCATAGGGAGGAGACTGCAGGGCATCCCCAATGGCCCGAGGCGAGGAGAACAAGGCGGGAGGAACCGAGACCGAGAAGGAGCCGCAGCGCCAGCGGCGGAGGTGGGCGCGTTAGAACTGAAGCGGCCAGAGTTCCCGCCGCCTCCTACCTGAGCAAATCCTGGCCGAGCTGCTCCGACACCAACGCCTTCAGCCGGCGCCGCTCACACGGCCCCTTCCTTGGCAACCCCTTACTGCACACGCCGGGGGACCCCACAGCTGCCGTCGGGGCCACGCTCCCCTCCCCACAGCGGGCCATGTCCCACCAAGCTACGGCGGTGCAAGGCGTGCCCAGGACACGGCCTCACTCCCCGCCTCCCGGCGAAGGGGCGTCTCCGCCCGCGCGCTCGGCCGCCACCCGAATCCGCCCCCTAAGGGAAAGGTGACGCCTCTTGTCAGTTCTTCGGCTGTCCCGTACGGCAGCCGAGCAGCGGTCCCGGAAACCACCGAGGCCCGGGCCGCGCCGGCACGTGACGCGGGCGGCTGAGCGCAGGCGTAGTCGCTCTGTTTACCTCCGCCGGCCAGGACCCCGCCCCTCGCGCGCCGGGGGCTGATGGGCCCCGGGACTACCCGGTCCTCGTGGTCCTTTCCCGCGTCCGTCTTTGCTCTCGGGTTGGTGTTAACCGTGCATTTTAATAGGGTTTTAAAATTGAGAGCCGAGTTCGAACAACCCGTGCAGCCTTCCTACATTGTGTGGGATGTCAGAGCTTCCCCCCCCCGGCTTTAGAAAAGACAGGTTCGCAAAACCTTTCCAGAGGCGAGTGGCACTCCCTCGCTTAATGGTTTTGGGCAAGGGATATTGGGGGTGCTAGGGTGCGGGGGTTGGGGGAAAACATAAAATCAGCGGGAGTCAGAACACTCCTGAGCCCCCTGCAAAGGGTGTGTACAACATCCAGCGTGGCGCGTATAACTGCTCCTGGACCTCAGCTGAGAAACCTCAGGTTATATGCCAGCGCTTTGCTTTTAGAGCTATAAAACTTATGGCGATGAAGAGAGGAGGTAAAGTTGTAGGGGCAGAGCCTTTGAGCGGGGAAGTGGGAGGACTGATGAGTTACAGGGTTTTGAATATTTTTGCCCGAAGAAAATAGCTGTAGTGGAATCATTGAAAAAGCCTTTTTTTTCTTTTTTCCTTTTTGAACACTATACTTTCTCCAAAGGAAGAAAGTTCATTCACTTTCATTCAGCAGCGCTAGTACAAGGTAACGAATGAGATACTAATTGCTTGGAAAATATATGGACCTTGTCCCATAAAATTGGCCAAGAAGGGGCCGTTTCTCCAAATAATGTCCTCAATTATTCAGGCACCTTAATGAAAACGTAACTAGGTAATTGATTCTAATTCCTGTAGAGAAGAGGGTGTCAGAGATAATATAATGGTTAATATTTATTGAGTGCTTATTAGGTGAGAAAAGTGCTTTATATGTGTTGATTCACGACCACCATTTAGATAAGTGCTGCTATGAGCCCAATTTACAGATAAGGAAGCATGCACATTTAGATGCTAAAAATGTAAAGAAACATAGGAAGTGCAATAGAAAAGTTAGGAAAGTAGCTTAATTTGGGGAGGAAGGAGACTCTTGTAATTATGATTGGGGGCCTGGGGGGGGTCTGGCAAAGTTTTACGTTTTGGTCCGAGTGTTAGTTGCAAGAGTGTTCATCTTTAAAAAGATTATATTTAGCCCTAGCCAGTTTTCCCAGTGGTTAGAGCATCCACTGGAGTACTGAAGAGTTCTGGGTTTGATCCCTGGCCCAGTCCCGTGCGGGGGAGTGCAGGAGGCAACCAATCGATGTTTCTCTCTCTGTCCCTTCCACTTTCTGAAAAGCAATGGAAAAAATATCCTTGGGTAAGGATTTAAACAAATTACATTTATTTAATATATGTTACATACTTATGTAATAATTATTGGCTACATATTTGTTTGATGTAGTTTTATCTATTTGTTTTACTATAAAAAGATTTTTAAGTGTTACGTATTAAAAGGGTTAAATAAAGTTATGTTAAACATTTCGAGTTAAAAGATAGAGTATAATAATGACCCAGAATTCCCCTTCCTGTCAGATGGAGGTGGCTTTGCTGAGGGTCACATTGAGCTGCCAGGGGCTTCTGTGGTGTCATTAGGAGTCAATAACATGGCAGAAGACATCAAGACCAAAATCAAGCCCAGCCGGTGTGGCTCAGTAGTTGAGTGTCTATCCATGAACCAGGAGATAGTGGTTCGATGCCCAGTCAGGGCACATTCCCGGGTTGCAGGCTTGATACCCAGTAGGGGGTGTGCTGGAGGCAGCCGACCAATGACTCTCATCACTGGTGTTTCTATCTCATTCTCACTCTCCTTTCCTCTCTCTGAAATCAATAAAAACAAAAAAAGACCCAAATCAGGAACTGCCAGACTGCCCCTTTTGACAGCTGCTTCCCCAGCCAGACCCAGACAGAGAACTGTTGGCTGAACTACCTGGACCCCCACCACTGTGAGAAGACAATGACTGCTAAAAGGGGTGATGTCTTGATGTGCGGATGGTAACTGTGTGTGTACAAGTCCCTCTGCCCCATATCCTGGGTGTCAGCCCGGGACATCCACTAGGCAGAAGGCAGTTGCCTGAGCAGATGTGAACTGCACCCCACCTCTCCTCTGTCCTCCATGCTTCTCCCAAGAGATAGAGGAAAGGGGACCTAGGTACATCCCACCCTGGGATCCTGAATCATGGCTTAATACTAAATACTTGTCGGAAAAGTGAGAAATACATGACCCTGATTTTAGGTATAGCTCATTTTTGGTATAGCTCATTTTCTAATTAGAAACAATTTCACTGTTAAATGTTTGAGTAATAGCACAGTTGTTTGAATAAAGATATACCTTGGCAACTACTTTTACATGAAAATCTCTTAATTACATTACTATTTTCCAGTACATCTTAAAAATCATTGTTTTTGAATTACATGTGTATGTATTATTGTCATGGGAATATCAAGCTGGGTGGGTGCTGTAGACTGAATATTTGTGTCCTCTCCAAATTCATATATGGAAACCTAATCCCCCATGTGATAGTATTTGGAGGTGGGGCCTTCAGGAGGTGATCAGGTCACGAGGGTGAAGCCCCTCACAAATGGGATTAGTGCCCTTATAAAAAACACTCCAGCCTGGTCTGGCATGGCTCAGTGGTTGAGCATCAACCCAGGACCCAGGAGATCACGATTCAATTCCTGGTTAGGGCATATGCCCAGGTTTCAGGCTCGATTCCCAGTAGGGGGCGTGCAGGAGGCAGCCGATCATCAATGTTTCTATCTTTCTCCCTTCTCCCTCTCCCTTTTGCTCTAAAAAGCAAGAAAAATATATTTTTTAAATAAAAAATAAAACAATTATATCTTTAAAAACAGGTATCAACAGTTGTTTTATAATACACATACACATTTAAGAATCTTTTTCTTTTCCCCCTAAAATGATACTTCTTAGTATGTTAAATCAAGGAAATCTAATATTTACTAATACTGCTGCTGGGGGAGGGGGGCAATTATATCTAATCTAAGTTTTTATTCCTCAAAAAAAGAAAAAAACAGGTACTAGAAAGTCTACTTGAAATATATATTCCTAAGTACATTTTAAATACATAATTAAGTGCCCAGACCACTAAGAGTAAAAACTATTGTCTTTTTCCTCAAAGAAATATTTTTATTTCATAGTTTCCACCTGGAAGGTACTTGCACCATTTTCAGAGCTGACTTTAACATTTGAATACAGCGACTAAACTTGTACTTGTGGCAATGCGTATACATAGGCTGTCTGGAGGTCTAAGTATGAGTTAAATAATTTGGCGTATTCTGGATGCTTCAAGGCAAATTTCTTAAAGTTCTTGTATGAAATGTACTCCGAGTTCTGTCTAGCTATTTCCTGAAAGAGCCTGGAAACATCGAGATCTGGCACCCCGAAAGCCGCCTGAAGTATAGCCGCCAACTCCTGCTCCGTGATGAAGCCATCCTCATCGAGATCGAAAAGCTTAAAGGACATCTGCAGAATCTTTTCGGTGTTGGCAGGACTGCACAGGACAGTCAGACCCACCACGTACTCTCTGAAGTCTATGCTGCCGTCGTTGTTCCTGTCAAAGAGGGCAAAGAGTTGCCTCAGGGGTTCTGAAACTGGGAGTTTTAAGTAATCTGAAAATTCTTCGATGCCTATCTTCCCTCCTTTGGCGGCCACGGCGATGGCAGCGTATTCGTCCAAGTGATGGTGGACGCTGTCCCAATCTAACTTCAGCTTCTGGCTGATCTTTGTAAACTCCACCAGACCCGCCTCCATGGGCAGGTGAAGGTTGCCCGCGGTGATCATCAGCCTGCAGTCCTCGTAAGTGTGGTCTGTCACCGGCAGCCCCAGGGCATTTGCCATGCTGACCCTCACCGCGTTGGCAAAAAGGACGGGGTCTTTTTTCTCTTGGTCGTTTGGGATGTACACAGGCAGAAACTCGACTTCCACCCTGGTGAAGGGCTGGCTCAGGGTCAGCATGCAGGCCTGGAAGCCTGTGAAGCCCTGCCAGGTCCAGGTCACCGTGTCCAGGCTGTTTGGGTACCTGAGCAGCACGGGCTGCACGGGGACACCTGGAGAGAAGGCCCCCAGTTTAAAAGTGACCAGGCACGTGCGATTGGTACACACCCCTTCTGGGAAAATCAGGATCTGGGGCCACTTCATTTTGGAGGTCACTCGTTTCAGGATCTCATCCCGCGTGGTCTTCCTGGAATCGGGGTCCTCCCGGGTCACCAGCACCGGCTGCGTGGACAGCAGGAACTTGCCGGCCACGGGGATGCGCGCGTTCTGACTGGCAGAGACCACCGAGGGCAACCCGGCCACCACGCAGGCGACGGCGTCGAAGAAAGTGGAGTGCGGGGCGGCCACGAAGATGGGCGCCTCGGCCCGCGTCGCCTTCTTCCCTTTCACTTTAACCAGGAACCCCGCTACCAAGAAAGAGATCTGAAGCAAGAGCCTGAGGGGCAGGCGCACCAGGGTCCGTCTCCAAGCCGTGGCGGGTTCTTCGGGGGCGGCCGGGCGGCCGAGGGTGGACAGCGCAGCCACGGGCCAGAAGAAGGCGGCGAGCGCGGCGATGCAGGACACGCGCACGGGCACGAGCACCGTGCCCAGCAGGAGGGTGGAGGCCCAGCGCCACGCGCTCAGGCGCGTCTGCTGCGTGAACGGGTTGGCCACGGCCGGCGGGTACAGGGACTTGATCCTGCCCAGGCTGTCGCCAGACTCGGTCCCCTCCGCCTGGCAGTCCAGGGACTGCTGAGACATGAGGCCCGCCCTTCAGCAGGCGCGGGGGGCCGGGAGCGCGGGGCCCGGGCCGCCCCCGGAGCACAGTCCTTCCCCACAGCGCTCTTTTCTGTTCGCACATAATTAGAGAACTCCTAGAGGCGATTGTGTGTTAATAGGAAATGATGTATTGCCTCTAAAATCCGAAACATGATTTCCAAGGGGTAAGTGATGTAGCAGGAGAATTAGAACCCTATCTTTTGCTTTTTGGAACCGTCTTCTTTCTGATACAGACAGGCTTCCTAAATGATTTTCAGGTAACAGTTTCATGACGTTTATATGAAGCATATAATGGATGGCTACTAGGGATGTGTGAATTTAAATATATGGAGGTTAAGGACGATTTTAAAATGTAAATGCCGTTATTAGTACAGTGTACTTACTGTGAGGTGCTTTGGCAGCTGGTAAGGCGAATTCATTTTCCCTCCTTACAGACTGATTTCTGCAGACAGTAATATCTCTTTACGCTAAGAGGTTTAACTGATGGCACCCTTGAGCCTTTATATCTGTTACACTCTTTCCACGTCCATTGAGAATTAGAATATACCATTATTATAGGCCAGAATTAGCCATGGCACGTCTGATTCACACTCTTAACATTACTCACGTGAGCCAGTCAGCATTCCAAACCGACATAAGTAACAACAAGAAACCTTGAGATCACCTTTGTCAGTAACATATTTTTATTAAAATAAGTCAGGGTCACTTCATTGCGTAAACAGACACAGCCAACAAACCCCTGTCCCTTCCCTTTATTGCTGTCTTTTGGAAATAATCAAGAGGAAAGCATAATCAAAGTTGGTGTGAACCTACACTCTCCTCTACACTTTGTAGCATTTGCAACTCTGACAGTGCTATACAAAATATTCCTGTGCTTGCTAATTGCTAGTTTAAATTCCTTTTCGCAGAATTAAAAGTCAAATCGAAGGTTTCCGAGAGATGTATCTATTTCTTGGAGCACACCAGGTTAGCAATAAACAGGAAGAGCAGTGTGGACACCGGAGCCTGCTAGACAGAATGTGATCCAAGTGGAAAGACTATGGGCTTCACAACCAGACGGATCTAGGTCAGGTGCTGGTTCCAACACTTACACTGTGGGCACTGCCAACCTCATTTTCACATCTGTAAATTGGTGATACTCCCTAACTTGCAAGGTGGTTATGAGGCACAAGTAAAATGTATACAGAAAATTGGGCTTTTATTAGTAAATACAAGTTGTTAGGATACAATGACGAGAATTCTTAGGGACATTCCTCTTTCTTCTGTCACTATCAGAACTATGCTCAGGGAGGGAAACATTCCTTTCACCAAGGGAACACAGTTGTAGTCCCTAAGGAGCCATGACTTAGCAACGTCACTGTTTGTCTCCCTTGCCAAGGAGGGCAGCCCAAGAGAATGAGTAGTTCCTTAAACTGGTATTGTTCTCTATTCGGTGACACTTTTATTTGTACCTGCATTACTATTCTTGAACCCTTGTTTAACTTAACTGCATTCTGCGTGTGCTTCTTAAGGGGAAGTTCTATATTACCATGTCATCTTTATATTTCTCCCACAGTGCCTGGCAGTGTGTCAGATATATTCTTTTTTTAAAAAATTATTTATTGAATGATTTGAGAGAGAGAGAGAGGAGGGAACAGAGAGAGAAACATCAGTTTGTTGTTCCGCTTATTTATGCATTTATTCATTGACTCTTATGTGTGCCTTGACCGGGGATCGAACCTGCAACCTTAGAGTATCAGGACAATGCTCTAACCAACTGAGCTACCTGGCCATGGACTATTCTTTATTTATTAAGCAAATGTTTGAGTTTCTACAATGAGCCAGTCCCTTCTTCTAGATGCTGGATGTCAGTTAATAAAACAATAAAAAGTCTCTGCCCTGTGGAGCTTAGATTCTAGTGCACACAGGAAGTACAGTATTTAATTCTTGTTGTATTGAGTGGGGCAAAAGGACACTGATCCTTTTTCCATTTTTTAAAAAAATGTCTTTTTATTGATTTCAGAGAGAGGAAGAAGGGAGAGAGAGAAACATCAACGATGAGAGAGTCATTGATCGGCCGCCCCCTGCATGCCCCCCACTGGGGATCGAGCCCAAAATCTGGGCATGTGCCCTGACCCAGAATCGAACCTCAATCTCCTGGATCCTAGGTGAACGCTCAATCGCTGAGCCTTGCCCGGCCAGGAGGTCCTTTTTCTAAATCTCTCACCAACTTAGCTGGAGAATTAAGGCAAGTAATTTAATGGATATGCTTCCTACTTTGCAATGTTTAATAAATATATATGTATATATGAGAATCTTCACATCATCTCTTGTTAATCTTCCCAGTATAAGTAGTATTTATGGCCTATTTTAAGAATATGTATTCATCTAGTCATATTTGCCTTCAAACTAATAAAAATACTATAAGAGATTTGATAATAGAATTTTTTTAATGGTTAAAAAATAGCTAAGAGAACTTTTGAGCAATAAAACGAAAGTTTATACCATTGCAGGTTTGCTTTTTAATATGGCTATTCTTTACTATACATATGTAAAAGGCACCACATGTTAACAGGGTAAAGAACAAAAGAAATAAAAACTGAGCCACTTTCCCCAACTTCCTTTTTGTACAAGTGTATGCATGTTAAGGCAGGTGATTTTCTGTGTAAAATACAACAGAAGAAAATCAACATTATGTTACAAGTTCACACACATTCTCAGATTTTTTTTCAGTAACATTTGTCAGGATATTTATTTATGATAAAGCATGTTAAAACATTTTCTTGCCTAGTGAATCTCAAAGAAGTTGGTGAACAATTTTAAAAAATTAGAGATTTTATTACAGACCTCTCATAGAAGATATAGAAAAGTCAGTCTTTTTTTCTTGTTTCTTCTTTTAGAAATGTCCATATCAATTTGTTCACTATGTCAGGTTGTTCTTGCTGAAGCCAATGACTGGCTTCTGACAAAATAGTTAGCCTGAAATAGTTTTTAACATAAATCTTTGTGACTTCAGCCATCTCAACCTCCATAAATGCGTCTTTCTCTCCCCACAGTAGTAGTGTTGGAGTGGTCACCATGTGATGTTTGAGAGGCAGGCAGCTATAAAAACAAAACACATGGGCTTGAGACTCATTTTAAAAGTTAAAATAACACTTTTTCATAATGTTTCTTCAGGCCACACATTCTCAAAGGGGGCAATATTGCCTCCAAAGGGGTGAAAAATTGGTTCTTGGAAGAATGAAAAACATCTTACCCTATATACAAACTATGGATATCCATGCAGTACACAGCAAGTGTTAAACTTTCGTGTGATGGGGCAACTAGGGAAAAATGTCTACCCAGGTTCCTTGGGGAGGTGACAATGAAAAAATGGTTGAGAAACACTGCTTTAGGCAATCCACCTATCCAATAAAGTATTTAAAAGGCTATTTAAGAGCCCAATAAATTTTTTAATTGGATGGGCTAGCAAAATTTATAACGAGGCCTATAAATTAAATACAAAAGTTATCACTATGAGGAATAATTTGCTTTAAAAGGATACCAAAATTTCTGAGTGGTGTGATGAGAGCTTTAAACAATGTTACTGCTTAAATATATTTTAAATTGCTTGTTAGATAATCTAAAGCATTTTATGTGAAAATTGGAACTGGAAAGTCAGAAAATATCTAGGGACTGAGCTGTAATACTACATGACACTATATTTATTTTGCAAGAAGAATCTTTTTAAAACAAAGTTTTATTATATATTTTCTTAAGTACAGAAAAGTATAAATAAAATCATGCATGATTCCATCATTAAAAGATAATCTTTTGATTGTTTCCTATGCATATATTTAAAACCATACTATAAATACAATGCAATAAGTATAGTATAAATATGCAAATTTCATATTAAGTTATAGTTAAAGAACATTCTCATTTCATAAAGTTTTTCAAACATAACTGTAAAAGGTACTATTTTATGGCATAATAACCCACAAATGACTTGACTATTCTCTTATAATTGAATATTTAGATCATAGCATCGCTTAAAAGATCCCCTTGTTTTAAGTGATAATATAATGAGCATTTTGTGCATAAATCTTTGTTTGCATTTTAGATCATTTCTTTGGGTAGCCCTGAAAGGGGAATTCCTGAGATAGAGTATAAACATTTTTAAAGTTTTGACACCTTCTGCTACACTATTTTTCAGAAAGGTGGGATGGTATTAATTACACTCTTGCTGATAAGGATGAGAATGAGCATCTAACTAGACACTCCAGCACTGACCTACATTTTCACTACTTATCCAAAAGCTTGACTTGTGGCTACTTGGGGTTGACAGATGCTGCTGGAATGTGCAGGATATCACATATGTCCACCAAGGACTTACCTTTTGACTCCCATGCAAGTGGCCATCATTTGGTTGTAATGGTCCTAAAAATTCTTTGTGAATGGCTAAACTGATAGAAAAATATATTCTATACTTAATTATTAATACATGAATTGCTATACAAACTTGCAAGCCACTTAAATTCTAGAGCTCATAAAATGTTCAAAGGTAAAACATTTTTTAACAGTTATCTGCATACTTAACAATATCTGAGCATGTTATAATTCAATCAGTAAGATAAGGGGAATTTTTAAAGGCTATTAGTCAAAAAACAAAGAGAAACATCAATTCCTCACCAGATCAAATTAGAATCAAAAGGGAGGAGTTTCCAGAAAACTAAAAAGAAAGGCATATTCTCTGGTCCTGAGAATTCAAATTGCTGAATTTCACATGAAATATAAGTTACATGTAAAGTATGTATAGCTTGGTGACTATTGCAGATTTGAAAGTTGCTAGGAGAGTTCATCTTAAAAGTTCTCATCACAAGAAAATTAAATTTTATAACTATGTATGGTGGCAACTATTAACTACTTATTGTGGTAATCATTTTGCAATATATAGAAATATAAAATCATTTTGTTGTATACCAGAAATTAATATAGTTATATGTCAGTTATACCTCAACAAA